TTAAAGAACTCCATTGTCATAACTTTGGGCTCCTTACTCACCTCTGGCATCATCTGGCTCCCTTTCCTCTGGTTTATCATCCATTTCATGCAGATCAAAGGCGATTTCTTAACATTTTACTTAGCCTTCCTCATTACCTTGTCCAACACGGCAGCTCCTGTCGTCATCCGTTCGATCATCGATTGGAAACTCCACACATCTGAGATCGGACGGCTAGCAATCTCATGTGGATTGTTCATCGAGATAACCAACATATTTCTCTACACTATCGTCCTTTCTTTCATCTCAGGGACTATGACCGCCGATATTTTTATCTACACATTTGCCACCGGAGTTATAATCTTGATTAATAGATTCTTAGCTTCATGGCTCCCAAAAAGAAACCCTAAAGAGAAATATCTCTCCAAAGCTGAAACGCTTGCTTTCTTCATCATTATTCTAATCATCGCGTTAACCATTGAATCCAGCAACTTAAACTCCACGCTTTTTGTGTTTTTCATCGGATTAATGTTTCCGAGAGAAGGAAAAACTTACAGAACGATGATCCAACGGTTGAGTTACCCGATTCACGAGTTTGTTCTTCCGGTTTACTTTGGTTACATCGGGTTTAGATTTAGCGTGAATTCGTTAACCAAACGCCACTACCTCGTCCTTGCTATGACAGTGGCTTTAAGCCTACTGGGGAAGCTTCTAGGAGTTTTATGCGCTTGTTCATTCCTAAAGATCCCAAAGAAGTATTGGCTTTTCTTGTCAACTATGCTTTCCGTCAAAGGTCATATAGGTCTTGTTCTTCTCGACTCTAACTTGATTTACAAGGTATTACAACAAATTACGAGTTTTTGTTAATTTAGTTTTTCAAGTCAGTTAATAATCTTCATCTCCGTGTTATTGGTTTTCTCTTTGTAGAAATGGTTTACTCCGGTAGTTCATGATATGTTCGTTGCGGCTCTAGTGATCATGACTTTGTTAAGCGGAGTTATGACGTCTTTGTTGCTTAGAGTGCAAGAAAAGAGTTTCGCACACATAAAAACATCACTTGAGTTTTTTGACACTAAAGAGGAGTTACGAGTGTTGACGTGCGTCTATGGTGTTCGTCATGCTCGTGGATCAATCTCTTTAGTCTCTGCTCTAAGTGGCTTCTCTCCTGGAGCTTCTTCTTCGCCGTTCACGCCTTATCTTATGCACCTCATACCGCTCCCGAAGAAGCGGAAAACGGAATTGTTGTACCACGAATTAGACGAAGATGGAGGAAATTCCAACGGTGGAGACGATGAGTTCGGGACTAATGAAGGACTAGAGATCAATGACTCGATCGATTCGTTTACTAAAGACAGAAAAATCATGATCCGGCAAGTGAAACTCGTGGCACCGATGGAGACTATGCACGAAGAGATCTGTAACGCGACTGAAGATCTTCGCGTCTCGATTGTGTTTCTTCCCTTTCATAAACACCAGAGGATCGACGGGAAAACCACCAATGACGGGGAAGTTTTTCGACATATGAACCGGAAGGTTCTAAAGCAAGCTCAGTGTTCGATAGGTATCTTTGTTGATAGAAACATAACCGGGTTTCACCAGCTTCACGGCTCTGATTCGGTACAACACGTTGCGGCGTTGTTCTTCGGTGGTCCTGATGACCGTGAGGCTCTGTCCTTGTGCAAGTGGCTTACCAATAACTCTCAGATTCACCTCACTGTAATACAGTTTGTGGCCGATGACTCAAAGATGGAGAAACTTGTTGGTGACGCGGTGACCAAGGAAAACAACGAAGTATTCTTGGAGATTGTTAGTAAAGATCAAACCGAAGACGAAACAGATCGAATCTTCTTAGAAGAATTCTATAACAGGTACCTTACAAATACTCTGTTTTTGGCATGACGAGTACTCTGTTACTATGTCGCTATATATATATATATGTATACTCTGTTTCTGTATCTTGTCTTCACCAGAATTACATTGCGTTTTTCATTTACGGGGATGTTTTTGATTTGTCTTGAAAGATTTGTGACGACGGGGCAAGTTGGATTCATAGAGAAGCGAGTGAGCAACGGAGTGCAGACGCTGACAATTCTGAGAGAGATCGGGGAGATGTATTCACTGTTTGTGGTAGGAAAAAACAGAGGAGATTGTCCAATGACTTCAGGAATGAACGATTGGGAAGAGTGTCCGGAATTAGGAACAGTCGGAGATTTCTTGGCTTCATCAAATATGGATGTAAATGCTTCTGTATTAGTAGTTCAAAGACATAGAAACTCATTTGATAGCTTTGTAGATGATTAGCAAATACTCTTTAGTTTTTACTTAACAAAACTTCAAATATTTTACTCTTATAAAATCAAGACAAACATCACAGAATTGAAAACATATGAAAATGGAGAATGTTTAAGCTAAACAAACTCTTAAACTCTCAGCAAACATGGCTAGTGTTTACGGCTTGATCTCTCTTTTCTTGTTCTTCCATTGAATCGCAGAGACTCAAACCTTTTGTCTCAGGCAGAATCAAAACGAACAATCCTAAACCTGACATTGCAATTCCAAAAATCGCAAACGATACTGACGGAATGTATCTTCCAATCGAAGAAATTAACGGACAACAAGCTCCTCCAACAACAAGAGCCTGTCTAAACATCATTGTTGCCGAACTTCTCACACAAGTTGGAAACATTTCAACCATAAAAACTGCCATAAGGTTGAATCCGATCCTTGCGCAGAAGAATGTTCCGAGGATGCTGAGAACAAAACAGAGCACTCCCGATGCCCCACCAAGTAAGGTATTCACTAGAACAGAGCTTCTTCTGTTGAATCTCTCCAATAAGATTGGAGTGATGACGAAAGTAGGCAGCTCCACCAATGCATTTAGGGTTTCACTCAAGTAGATGTTGACATCTATGTCTCTAGCTGCTAAAGGAACACCGTAATACGATATTCCCAACCCAAACATTATGATCATAACAACTAAAATCCTCTGAAAAGCCCATTTTCGGAAGAAGAAGTCCTTAATAGAGTAAGTTGGCACTTGTTCAAAGTTTTCTTGCTCGTGGGGTAACTTAGAAACCACTGATTCCAAATAAGCTTTGTTCTTCGGCGACATCTTTGTGAGAACATCAATGGCTTCTTTATCATTTCCTTGCATGTGAAGCCACCGAGGTGATTCGAGTGCAAAGAGGTAGAGGAAGATACAGTAAAATATCGCTGGAACAGATGTGTATAGATAGAGATATCTCCATGAAGAATCTTGAGCAAGGTAAGCGATTCCAGACAACGACATAAACCCTAAAACAAATAGGGTAAATGGAATCATTGTAGCTCTAGGTCTCCATCTGGTGGAGACTCGCTCACTGATGAGAACCAACGCGTATGACCAGGTCTGTGATCGCGAAAATCTGATGAAAAACTTTAGGAATGTATAAATCCATATATTGGTTGAGAAGATAACACAGATTGAAGTGATTGACATTGCAAAGGTTGAGAACAAAACTAGTTTCTTGCGACCCAAGGAATCGTCTGGGATCAAAGCTAGAAAAAAGCCTCCAACAATGGCACCGATGTAGAAAGCGGAACTAGGCATACCTCTGAGTAAAGACCTCGAGCACTCGAGGCCGAATTCTGAAATGACGGATTTGCCCTTGGAACCACCGTCCCATTCCCAAGCTGATCTTGGAAGATTGCAGATGTCGGAAGCTGAAGGATCACAGATCGTGTGGTTTAGACAGTGCCACGTGGGATAAGCATCTGTGTACACGGTGATGAATATCTGCTGAGCATCGAAGAGCAAAGCGAGTCCAACCAGGGATATCTGGAAAAATTGCCAGAATCCGAAATCTGATAGACTCTGTTCGACGATCTTGTCGAAAGTCAATGCTGTTTTGTCGTTGACTCCAGAATCATTGGCGAAATGAGACAACAATGGTTCTGATGGATCATCCATTATTGTTTAGTTTCGAGCTTTGTGTTTGGTTTTGTTTTTGTGTTTTTGAAGAGCTTGACTTGACTATTGGTATACTCTCATTAATTCTTATCAACTATATATAAATCTGAATCTGTGTTTTCATTAAAAGCAAATCTCAACTTGTATAAATTAATTCATACCGTGTTTAATATGTGTTATAATAATATTTCAAACGTGCTTCAAGTGAAGCTTGGGTCGTCGAAGTCAAAGTATTCATGCCAGTATGGATTCAGTTCATTACTGTTTTACTGTTTCTTTTATATTGATGGTCATACTTATAAGTCGTGGATTTGATTTATCTAATTTTAAAAACATAGCTTTACTGGTTGAGCCACGATCGGATCCGTTCACATGCCATGGACTAAATCATCACGTCGAGAATCCGTGTTAGTATAGAAAGTACTGGTTTGATTGGTGGCAGTTTAGATTAGACGGCTTGGGAAGTTATCAATCAATTCGGTGGACCAAAACTTTTTTAGTTGGATTGGTTCATCACAAATTAGTGGAATGGTTTAATAAAATTAGTGGAATGGTTTAAAACATTAAATCGGATGTAGTTAGACCAAGTTGTAATCCTACCCTCTAATCCGATACTAGCAAAGATTACTCATCGTTTTTATCAATCAATGGAATGATTAAATGATTAAACAGTTGAAAATGGTGGTTGTATAAAGTGATTAGAAACGAAAAATATAGATTACCAACCAACCCAAAAATAAGACAGTTGGGCAAAACAATCCTTAATACAAGACTAAAGTTTAGTTTTAATGTAACTAACCTTTAATTTAAAATATATTTTATTCAATTGTCATTAGAACTAGATACAATTTTCTTTCATGTTTTGCATAGAATTATGTAAATTATTTTTATATTATAATAAAATCTTTGGTATCTATTTTTAACCTATTTCAAGTAATTATTTGAAAAGAAAAAAAAATTAAAATCCATTATTTTGAATTAAATATTGCAGAAATAAGAATGATTGAAAGAAAACAGAAAGTAAATGATTGGGTCACATGGACCTGTATATAATGTACGACTGTTCAATCGATTTGTATAATTTGTGTGTTTGATGGGCTTCTTTCTGTGTACTAATATGAGTCGGACTCGTTAGTCTCATAATAAATGCCGATTGAAGGACACAATTTTTGGGACCAGCTTGACCAAACCATGTAATCTACGAAAACTGTATAAGTTGTACCAGAGTTGTTACTGTGTCATTCAAAATCCAATCAAATGAATGTTGTTGACAAAAGCTATTACATAAGATAAGCTCAATAATATGGCATGGCTTCACATTTTATTCGTCAATCTAATTTTGGCTATATGGTTTGGTCTCGTATGACCGATGGAAACACCGATAAAAAACAAGATAAATCTCACAATTCGGTGAAAATGGGTATTTACTATTTACTTATTTAGATATTCGAAAAAGTCAAACACAAAAAAAAAACGCATTATTTTTGAAAACGGCATTAGTTTTTTTCTCCTTGTCAATTCTTTCATAATGAGCTCCTCTGGGACGTCCTCAATTGCATTAGGCGGTGGATCCGCTGAGGCAGCTGCTGCCAAAAGCACCTCAAAGCGTCCAAAATGTGATCTCTAATCTATTCTCAAATTTTTGATACATTTTGTCATTTGAGGTTATTTTTGATTTTTTTTTTCTTTTGCGGATTTGACAAATCTGTACTTTGGTATCGTACATAGTGTTCTAGAATGACTTTGTAATTCCACCAATAGTTGTTGTCATTGATCAATCTTTCTATGCTTTTCTCTTGAGAGGAAGTTATGTGCGTGTTGAAAATAAATGTTAAGAACTCAGATTCTTTTGTTTGAGATGTTGCTAGTCTCTAGATCATCATATTCGATGCTTCATTTATCAATGCAAATGACTATAATTAATTTACATTGTATACAGATATATCATATAGGGAAAAAATCAGATTACTGATATTAATCTAGTTCAAACAAACAAATGGATGCTTGTATTTTCTTATTTGTTTGGTATCTTTTAGTAATCCATTCCATGTGAAAATTTAACAAGGGTGTAGTTGAAACCCATTTTGTGTTGCTGGATTGATGTAACTCCCCAACAAATTAAAATGTGTGATACCTTTTTGATTCCTTAATATAAGTTTCCTTGAATCTGTATACTAAGAAACCTAATCTGTTGGCTGAATTTGCTTCATTAGATTCAAGATTTACCCAACAGGAGCTTCCAGCATGCAAACCCATTCTTACTCCAAAATGGGTAAAGAATCAATAACTCATAACAATGTAAACATTCCTAGGGGTACAATTTCCAATGTTTTTCATAGTTAAACTCTTTTTTTGGTTATCTTGTTTTGCAGGTGATTCTGACTTTTCTTGTCTCAGGGGTTGTCTTTATTCCTCTTGGAGTGATTTGCCTATTTGCTTCTCAGGGTGTATGTTTTAGTCTTTTCTTACTTTCCTCAGCTACAATTATTTCTTTTTGTGAATATGATTTGATTTTTTTATTACATACATGATCAGGTCATCGAAATTGTTTATCGATATGACATAGACTGCATTCCATTATCCTCTAGGGACAACAAAGTCAGATACATACAGGGCTTAGAAGATAAGAGGTGTAACAGAACAATAATGGTAGATATCTATCATCTTTAGTTCTTGCTATATACTTCTTAATTAACTTTCGTTCACAATCTTTTTTATAAATGTTTTTTTATGATAGGTGACAAAAACTATGAAGAATCCGGTGTATGTATATTACCAGCTTGAGAACTATTACCAAAACCATCGACGGTAACATATCACTATTAGTATTCATTCTTGTGTTTGCGACTTTCCATGGACTCTAGCAGAACCTCTTTGAGCATGTGCTATTGGTGCATTCCAGCAAGATTCAATTTTTTTTTTTTTACACATCACGTATATGTTTACTAAAGGTATTGCACAAGGCTTAATTTGAAATAGTTTGAGAAAATAAAACTTTGTTTGATGATTTTTCAAATTGAAGGTATGTGAAAAGTCGACAAGATGGACAATTGAGAAGTCCGAAAGATGAGCACGATGTGAAATCATGTGCGCCCGAGGATACTATAGATGGTGAACCCATTGTTCCTTGTGGTCTTGTTGCTTGGAGTTTGTTCAATGATACTTATGACTTCACTAGAAACAATCAAAAACTCCCTGTGAATAAGAAAGGCATCTCATGGAAGAGTGATAGAGAATCAAAGTTTGGTAAAAATGTCTTCCCGAAAAATTTCCAGAAAGGATCTCCCATCGGCGGTAAAAGTCTTGATCCTGATGTTCCAGTAAGTCTTTTTGATGTGCTAAGAATCTCACATCTTAAGTAAAAAAATTCTAAAGTGATATATAAAAACTGGTAAAAATGTATGTTTCTGACAGTTAAGTGAACAAGAAGATCTAATTGTCTGGATGCGAACTGCGGCTCTACCAACATTTAGAAAGCTGTACGGTAAAATAGATACTGATCTTCAAGCCGGAGATACGATAAAGGTCTTGTTACAGAACAATTACAACACTTATAGCTTCAATGGAAAGAAGAAGCTTGTGCTCTCTACCACTAGCTGGCTCGGTGGAAGGAATGATTTCCTTGGGATTGCGTATTTGACTGTTGGTAGCATATGCTTGTTCTTGGCTGTTTCCTTCTCTGTCTTGTATCTAGCAAAACCAAGGTACATATGTAACATTCTCTGATTTTTGAGACTGTTTTCATAAAACGTCATAGAGAGTCTTTAATAGTCTATATAGCAGTCTATATAGCACAAATGACAAAACTGTAAATGTTATGTTTTACTTATGTGTTTCAGGCAATTGGGAGATCCATCGTACTTGTCATGGAACAGAAGTGCTGGAGGTGGACGATGATAAGAGTTGTTTTAAGCTCTTGTTTGTTGTTTCTGGGATCTGTCACTTACTTCTCCTTCTATTGGTAAATAAATTCCCTATGAGAATAGATTTTTACCGTTTATGAGAAAAATTATGTATAGACTAACCCATAAGACTAATCACATCATATAAATTTTTATTTTTTTTTGTTTGATATAGCTCAAAGTTTGTTGGGAACTAACTAAATTAAACGCTGCGACCACGGTGTAAAGGTTGGTATCACTGGGTCAGGAACCCATATGTATGTATTGTCAGAATCATGCATAATGGACATGAGAGGTTGAAACTTTCATGTGGTGGCAAGCCATTTAATACTATTTTGATCCAGCAAAATTCATGTTTATTGTGTTTAATACAAAACTGAAACCATGAACAAAAGTTAAATATAACACAATTCCATAACCCCAAATGGTTGGATATGGTTGAAATAGGGTAGTGATTCAGTGAAATAGCATTACGAAACACGATTCAACTATTACAGGATTACAGAACCTTATTGTTGACACTAGTATAGTGCACGGTTACATAAGAAAGTAAACTCGGGAAAGCTAAAACGATTTCTTTTCGTAAGAAACCAGTCCATGGATTCCACCTTCTATCTGTGCTGCACCGGTACGAGCCTATACACAACATCAACACCATAAACGTAAATACTAACATCAAAACAGCAGAAATCGCAAATTAAGATAGTTTTCCAAGGACTAGATTTAACGACATACCTCGAGTCTAAGGATATTATCTCTCAATAGCTTGTGAGCAGACTGCAAAGAAGAAGCACCAAGATCTTGGAAACCTTGCTTCACAGCATGCATTGTGTAAGGTATAAACTTTAACACTGAGCCTTTGTCCGCAACCGCTCCAACCACTCCTTGTGCAATCTTGAGTTTCGCGGTATCTCCCAAGTATCTCTGGTCACTTCCTTTGGTCATTGCTTCTAATGAACCCATACCTCTGTATTTCTTCACTCTCCTACCGTTCTATAATTAACACAAAACAGACCAAACAAAGCAAGATATTGAGGAAAAAAATCAAGGAAGGTTGTTAATCAATATCCAAAGTCGGAAGGTGTGTGCAATTACTCGATATTCATAAGCTCCAGGAGCTTCGGTGCTTCCAGCCAAGAAGCTTCCCATCATCACAGTTGATGCTCCAAGAACTAGAGCCTTCACAATGTGACCTGAGTTTGAGATGCCACCATCTGCGATAACAGGTACACCGTGCTGAGAAGCTAGTGTCGAGACTTTGTACACGGCAGTAGCCTAAGAGAGAACCAATCACAAAAAAAAGAACCCGACTTCGTAAGGTGCAATTCATAGAATCAACTTAGCACTCTATTTCAAATATGAAAGCTTTTTCATTTACCTGTCCTCGTCCAACGGCACAAACCTCTTGTGTTGTGCATATAGATCCAGATCCCATACCAACTCTCAACCCATCAACTCCTGCTTTGATCAAGTTCTCTGCCTGGTACATAGTCACCACATTCCCACCAACCACATCCAACTCTGGATACGTATTCTTCACATACTTGATCATCTCAAGCTGGTAAATTGAGTTCCCTTGCGAACTATCCAGCACCACAACGTTAGCTCCAGCATCCACTAAGTGCTCTAGCCTCTCCTTGTCTGAATCCCTAGTCCCTATAGCCGCACCCACCATCCATTTCTTGTCTGCACCAACAGTTCCTGACCCTAACTTGGGATATCCTTTAACCCTCTCCACATCGTCTTTTGTTACTACGTTGACGGCCTCACCTTCCTTCTCCAGAACCACAAATCCTTTCTGCTTATCTTCCAAAACCGCCTCAATCTTGTCAAGATCAATATCCCATGGCACATAGTAATCTTTGCTCTCACAACTCCTCATGTAATCATATATCTTCATCTCCTTTTGGTCATCTTTCATACTCGACCACTCCGATTTTGAGACATAACCCAACAATTTCGGTGTCAGTGTTCCTGATTAATCAAACAACAACAACAACAACAAAAAATTATCAAATGGAAACTACTTCACAATTATTACCACGATTTTGATTCATTCTGAAAATGAAAGTATCTAACTTTCAGCTAAAAGGTCTGAAATCGATTGTGAAATTATACCTGTCTGCGAGACAAAAACGAAGGAAGAAGGACCAAAATCATCAACCGAACCAATCTGATGCTCTGGGCATTTGAAAACAGCATCAGACGCAATCGGAACTTGAAGCGATTTGGCGTGACGGATGACGGAAGCTTGAGTCTCGATGTCACAGTTATAGTGCACGATTCCGATTCCTCCAAGCGCAGCCATTGCAGCAGCCATGTGGGACTCAGATACAGTGTCCATCGGCGAAGCGACGCAAGGGATCGAGAGTGGGACGCGCTTGCTGAGGCGCGTGGATAAAGAGACGGCGTCTGTGGAAAAGTCGATGAAGTGAGGTAGAAATATCACATCGTCGTAGGTGTATGAGTATCCCTGTGAGAATAGCTTTTCAGCTGAAAATCCATCTTCGAATCCTGACATCTTCAATCCAACAATGGCGTCGATGCCGATAGATAGAAATGAATAGTGAGTGTGAGCTAGGGTTTAGTGGAGGAGTTGGTGAACAAGGAGGTTTAGGAGCGAAAGATGACAAACGAAAATGTTGGTAAAAAGATCAAACCGTAACCGAAGAAATAAAACCGAATCAAATCGAAGTTTGTTTTCTAACCGGTTGGTTTTGTTATTTACAAGTGAAAGAACCGAAATCGAATCAAAACCGGATGGCTGATTTATCCACCGAAATCGAATCAAAACCAGACCATCACTAAATTCTTGTTTCTTCGTGAATTTTGTTAAAAAAGTTGAGGTTTTGTTTTCTGATCTTAAGCTCTACTAAAAAATGGCGAATTCAGCGTCACTACTGTACGATCAGCTCAAGGTTGAGTCTTCTTTTTTACAATGCTCATTTTTTTTTTATTTTCTTCCGGTGGTCTTATCAAACGCACAATGACTCTTTGCAGGTTGCGGAGCCGTTTTTCTTGTTTGCTGGTCCAAATGTGATTGAATCCGAAGAACATGTTCTTCGAATGGCGAAAAGCATCAAAGAGATTTCTACAACGTATGTGTAACCATCACCATTGAAGCTCTTTTCTTGTTCTGACATCTTGTGTTCAACTGTGGCGAACGGAACTAATAAAAAAATTGAAAAGGGGGAAATATTTTCAAAATTGTATTCCACTTATAGCAATCGCGTCATAGTGGAAACCCTGATCCTCTCATTTATTGGACAATGTGGTTACTTACTTATTGTTAAGCATGCTCTTGTTGTAGGCTTGGATTGCCCCTGGTTTTCAAGTCAAGTTTCGATAAAGCTAACAGAACTTCATCAAAGTCCTTCCGAGGTCCTGGCATGCCTGAGGGTCTCAAGGTTATTTTTGATTAATCATTCCCTCTTCTTCAGTTGCAAGCATGGATGATTCTCTATCTGGTGCTGTTACAACTGTGCATTTGAAAACCTTCAAGAGTATTAAAGCGATTTATCTTTATGACGGAAACTAGTATTGGTGTGGCTTCATCTCTTGTGTGTAATTTCTGCACAAGTATAGTAAAGGTAGTAACTTTTCTGTTTCTCTCAACAGATTCTTGAGAAGGTGAAAGTAGCATATGATCTACCAATCGTAACTGACGTTCATGAATCGAGCCAGGTATATGGAGTTTTAGTCACATCAGAGAATCAATATTCGAAATTTTTTTGTTTCTTTCTGATGCTTTGCTTGTTTTTATTAGTGTGAAGCGGTCGGCAAGGTTGCAGATGTAATTCAGATACCAGCGTTCTTATGTCGCCAGGCAAGATTCTAACATATGCTTTCTTAGCAATCAAATTTTCATCTACTGTTTGAATTTATCATTTATGGATAGGGTTCATGGTTTTAATCACTGCCTATATCTCCAGACAGATCTTCTGGTCGCGGCAGCCCAAACTGGGAAAATTATCAACATAAAGAAAGGACAATTTTGTGGTCACTCTGTGAGTTATCTTATTGATCTGGAGAAACTTTTGTTTCCTGGTATATTGTAGTGACTGATTTCATGTATATCCATTTTAAGGTCATGAGAAACTCGGCCGAGAAGGTTAGACTCGCAGGGAATCCAAATGTGATGGTTTGTGAAAGAGGAACCATGTTTGGATACAGTAAGTTAAATGTTCTTTGTGTCAATAGAATTGGCAGCGTGAATGAACATGTAGATATTCACCACTTTTATGCAAATAGGGACCAAAATAGACTAAAGACACTGGATACCTTCTTTATGACTCCTGAGTGTCCTCACATTTGATTTTTGTTCCTCAGATGATTTAATAGTAGATCCACGAAATTTGGAATGGATGAGGGAAGCTGATTGTCCCGTTGTAAGTTAATCTTGCTTCTTGTTCTTTTCTTGTTGTGGGAGTTTATATCTTTGTTTTGGCTTTATACTTTTTGATGTTTTGACACTCTTAATAATTATTGGCTTCAGGTTGCTGATATAACTCATTCATTACAACAACCTGCAGGCAAGAAGGTATGATAATTAGAACGATGCTCTGAGTAATTTAAGAAGTGCTTGGTGTTTTAAAGCTAAATCAGAATTGGTCTAAACTCAAACATACCTTGTTTATATAGTTAGATGGTGGGGGTGTTGCTAGTGGAGGCCTTCGCGAATTAATACCATGCGTAGCAAGAACAGCCGTAGCTGTTGGTGTCAATGGAATTTTCATGGAGGTATCAATATTTTTTTCCAACTTGAACGCAATTTTTTTGTCATCTCTTTGAATCTTTGTTCCGATTTGGTTATGAAACTTGGTTCATTTTCCGGTGACTTAGGTGCATGATGATCCTTTGAATGCACCAGTTGATGGTCCAACACAATGGGTGAGTTTTAATTTTTTCAGACCATGTACATTTGCATTCTCGATCATCTTTATTTTCTTCCTGTTCAGCCTCTGCGTCATCTAGAAGAACTGCTAGAAGAGCTCATTGCAATCGCGGTAAGCCCTTTACATTATCCCATAAAATTTCAATCTGTTTCCATTTGTTGTAACATTGGCCCTTATGACATCTTTGCAGAGTGTCACAAAGGGGAAACAGCAGTTCCAAATCGATCTCACGCCTTATCGTGATTAGAATCAAAGGGTGTATTAGCCAGGCGAGAGACCGATAGATCAAGATAGAAATGATGAACTCTCTTCGTTTTCTCATCATTTGCAGATTCTTTTCTGCATTTTGCAGGTCGAGCACGTCACTTTGGGTGCAACTACACCTTCTTGATAATACTTCAATCTTGTC